CACACACACACACACACACACATGCCTTACCACTAGGTCACAGGCTGACTCACAAGGTTTTTTTTGAGATGTCTTTTCAGGGGCCAGCCCATGGCCGGTGGTTAAGTGAGCTGGATCCCACATGGCCAATCATGTGGTTCGAGTTCTAGATCCAGAAGCTTGAGAAACACACTGGATTAGGGAGAGCCCAGAACCCTGAAAGGAGGGAGAGATGGAGGAGAAAGGATGCGGTGTAACCCTGCCCCATGGGGGGATGCTTTCTCACTTTCTTTCTCTCTCTCTGCCTCTTTCCAGTCAATACAAGTGTCCTTTGGCAACTTAAAAACTTCCTTCCCGAGGCCAGCTGTGGTGGTCAAGGCACTGGACTCCCCACATGGCCAATCATGTTTTGAGTCCAGAACCTGGTGGCCTGCTTTTTCACTTTCCCTCTCTCCCTCGTCTCTCTCTGGTGTGCACATGTGCTCTATAGCAAATTAGAAAATAAACAAATTTTTTTTAAAAGCCCTTCCCTTCCCAGGGTAGACTGGGAATGAGATCAGATTCAGGCTCATTCTACAAGAGCTCCTCACTGGAGGTGCTGGGCCCCTTCTCGTTGCATCACACTGAGATAATTGATGGTCCTATGTTTAATGGCACTGAAGACTGGTGTGTCCAGGTCCTGAGCCCTGCTAGACAGTCTCCCACCAATTTTTCACTTACTGGCCTTAGCAGAAGGATTCTTTAAAACCAGATTAAACTATATCTCTCCTGCCCCAAACTCACTACTGGCTTCCACTGTAAAAAAAAAAAAAAAAGTTCAGGGTCAGCAGGTGACATGGTGGTTAAGGGGGCTAGACTCCCACATGATCGACCAAGGTTCAAGTCCCAGACCTGGTGGTTTGATTTCTCACTTTCTCTCTCTGTCTCACTCACTCTGTCCCTCTCTGGTAAAATTAAAAATAAATAAATAAGGTTAAATAAAATAATTATTTAAAAAAAAAAATAAAAAGCAAAGCCAAAATCTTTCCTGACCCTGCCTTCCTAGTCCCTGTCCTTACCCACTGCACCCCAATGGGCCTGCTCCTAGTCTTCACCACTTCTGGTGCATGCTTGCCTCCAGCCCTCTGCCTGTAACACTCTGCCCCATGTGGCTCACTTGCTAATTTACTTCAGCTCCCCATTACCACCTCAGAGAGGCCTTCCCTAACCATCCTTTGTAAAAGAGCACCCCCAACCCTGCTATCCCTTCCTCTGCTTTGTCTTTCATTGCATCCTGATAAATATTTATGTGGTTATTGTCTCTCTTCCCCTTAGAGTGGAGCTTCTCTAGGACTTGGACTTATCTTGCTTACTACAGACACCTAGTATTACAGGAACTTTTGAAAAATAATTATTTATTTAATTTTATTTATTATTATTTTAAAATTTGCTACAGGTCATGTGCACTCAGCAGAGAGAGACACAGAGAGAGAGAAAGAGGAAGAGAGAGAAAAGGAAAGTGAGAAAGCAAGCCACCAGGTCCGGGACTTGAACCGTAGTCGGTCATGGGGGAGTCTAGTGCCTTAACCATCATGCCAACCACTGACCCACACAGGAATTTTTTTTCTTTTTTTTTTTTTTTCCTTTTGCTATAGGGTGCGTGCGCTTACTAGAAAGATAGAGAGAGAAAGAGAGACAGAAAGCGAGAAATCACCCCCCCAGTGGGATGACCACGCCGCAATCCCTTCTCTGTTCTCCTCTAGGGATCTCGGCCATGCACACACATGCGCCCAATGTGAGTATGAGTCACTGGATCCAGGACTCGAACAATAGTTGACTACATGGGAGTCCAGCAACATAGCCATTACGCCATCTGCTGGTCCCAATACAAGGAATATTTTTATCCACCTGTTTGGCTCATTTAAAAAAGTGCATCTCAAAGTTAATTGCAGGTGTCTTGGTAAGAAAATAAATTCTTGCTTTTTAAGTCACACGCGCGCGCGCACACACACACACACACACACACACACAAAGTAAATCGTGGGTACATAATAGGTGCTCAATAAATAAGTTCTTTTTCATGGTTTTTGTCATAGGGTATGTGAGGTTGCTACAAAGTGTGAGTGTACACACCCTATAGCAATAAATAAATAGATAAAACCCCTCAAACCTGTCCCTTCCCTGCTTAACCCTGGGGTGGTCTCCCATCTCCCTGGCCACTCAGGGTCCCCCACCATTAGCCTCACTAGCCTCTCATTTATGCCCTGGTCATGGCCCCATCATCCCTCCTGCCACCCAAGCTTGAGCCTCGGGGTCCTCTCTGTGTCTCTTGAGACACAGAGATTCAGAGAGGGAAAGTGAGAAAGTACCCCCTCCATTACACCACCTGCTGACTCTAACAAGCAGTTCTTGAGTGAATGAATTCAGATTCCAGTTAGCTCTGCATCCAGCTGGGCCCCACCGAGCCCTGGGTGGGTAGGGCCCCCACATACTAAACAAGTGGGTAGACCTTTGCACATATTTGTACCACCTCCATAAACACAATTGGTTGTCTCCTCCATGGCAGTCCTTTCACAGGGTGGCAGGGATGCAGTAGTGACCAGGGTACACTCAGCCTCTGTCCTCCCAGAACCCATGGACCAATGGGAGAGTCAGACATGAGGCACATAATCACGCCAATAAATACATAATGACAACTCTTGCAAAATGTTGCAATGGAAAGGACAAGATGTTGGGAGTGAACAACACACAACATGGGACCTAGATTTGGCTGGGCGGGGCCAGACAGTGAGGCAATAGAGAGGGGACCCTAGAGATGGGGCTGAGGGATAGGAGCTGAGGACATAGGGCTGCAGGAGGATGCACCAAAGCCTGGGAGTAGCTTCTCTAGGTGAGAAAAGGAGAGTCCTGAGGAGAGGGAGGGAAGGTCAAGTGGACATGAGGGGGTCCTTGCAGGCCTACTCGTAAGGAGTTTGGGGTTTGTCTGAAAGATTTGGGTCCAGGGAGGGACAGGGCTTGGGAACATCCCTCTGACTGCTGAATAGGAGAAGGGATGAAGGAGCCAAGTGGAGCCTGGCAGCCAGGGAGGGGACCAGAGCTGGGGTCCAAGCAGGAGAAGGCAAGGCTAGACCAGGGCAAGGTGCTGCAGAGAGACGAGGGCAGGTGGGAGAGAAGTTCGTGCAACTCAATCCTCTGTGGAACTTGGTAATGAACTGAAGAGTGGGGATATCCAGGAGGACCCCGAGGCTCAAGCTTGGGTGGCAGGAGGGATGATGGGGCCATGACCAGGGCATAAATGAGAGGCTAGTGAGGCTAATGGTGGGGGACCCTGAGTGGCCAGGGAGATGGGAGACCACCCCAGGGTTAAGCAGGGAAGGGACAGGTTTGAGGGGTTTTATCTATTTATTTATTGCTATAGGGTGTGTGCACTCACACTCGCCAGAGGCAGAGAGAAAGAGAGAGAAACTGGGAAAGCGCCCCAGGGGGGATGGCCACACTGCAATCCCTTCTCCACTCTCCTCTCAGGATTTATGAGCACCCATGCACATGTGCCCAACGTGTTTTCCAAGCCTCTGAGTTCAGGACTGCATAGCCGGACATGTGGGATCCAACCCCCTTAACATCCATGTCACCTGCTAGCCCCAGCCTGGAACTTTCCCTCTGGTTGCTAACTGGGAGATGGGCTGGAGAGGGTGAGGAAGAGTGGAGGGGGCAGGGAGAAGGCGGCAGGTGGGGGAGACATCAGGCGGCCAGTAGACTCTGTGGTGAGCTGGAGGGACACCGATGCCCAAAGGGAAGTGGCCATGCAGAGAGGGACACTCAGCCCCCATATGCACTAACACTCAGGCATGCAGAAACCCCCCGTGTGCAAAACATGCAGGAGCACGGAAGTAGACCTGCTGCAAGACTGCACGGGGGCACTAGACCCTCAAGGACCAGGATGCTCTCACCAGAGCAGAGAGCAGGGCAAGTGCAGGGGGCCGCGGGGCACCTCACCGCTGCCATGTACATGTACAGGGATCCGCGCTTAGCCAAGCTGGTCCCCCCCTCCACCCCCGCCAGCCGGCCAGCAGGCTGAGTCTCCCACCTGCATTCCAGATGGACAAGTTGAGGCTCAGGGGCCAGTCCCTTGCCCCCAGGGTCCTCAGTATTGGGGCACTAGAGCTGTCCACCTCTCTGAGTGTGCCCACGCACTGGTGTCCCTTTCTGAGCCCGAGTGGGCATGGCGTGTCCCCCAAGCGAGTGTCTCCCGTGAATGCGCAGCCAGCAGTGTCCTCCACCTCTGAGGTTTCTCGCGGACTCAGCTCAGACCGGCTTCTCTGAGTGTGCCTATGGACAGGGGCCGGCCTCGGCGTGTCTCCATCCCGCTGCGAGTCTCTGCCTGTCCCAGCCTGTGTGTCGACGACGTTCTGAGTGTGTGTGTGTGTCTGTGTGTGTGCGTGTGAGTGTGTCCTTGCAGAGGAGCTGGGAGCGTGTGGGGGAGTGGAGGGCCAAGGAGGCCTGGCTGGGGCCGGCGGAGAGGGAGGCGAGGGGGCGTCGCGGGCTGGGAGGGGAGTGGAGTTCTCCAGGAATGTTTACCAGACGCAGAGGGAGCCCGGAGGACAGCGCCCAGGCCGGCACAGAGAGGCTCTGCTCCCCGTGGCGGTGGCCCAGGATTGGGGCGCAGCCCCCTTGCCCCTCCCCACACTCCCTCCCAGGCCCCTTTAAGACGGGGCTGGTCCTCTCCTCTCCCCATTAACCCCTTGCTGTCCAGGTGGCCCCCTGGGCTCTGGGCCTGGTGGGCGGAGGCAGGGGGGGAGCCAGGGGCGGGGAAAGGGTTGCCCAAGTCTGGAAGGGAGAAAAGGAGGCCGAAGAGACCAGAGGGCAGCTGCGGAGCTGAGCCGCCTGAGGGGCCGCTGGGCCAGGCGGGCAGTGCCAAATCCGGGGAGCCCAGAGCTGGGGGGAGGGCCGGGGACAGCCCGGCCCTGCCCCCTCCTCCGCGGGGTGCCCAGCAACTTCGGAGGAAAGTTTGGCATCCATAGATAGTGTGGTGGCGCCCCAGGATGGGCAGGGTGCCGCTGCTGGCCTGGGGCTTGGCGCTGTGCTGCTGGGGCTGCGCGGCCCCCCTGGGTGAGTGATGGGGGACACAGCGGGACAGGGCCGTGGTGGAGGGGCTAGGGCAGAGGGAGGGGAGGTGGGGAGGGATGGCAGGTGCTGGGATGGGGGGGTAGGAGCCGATGAGCTGGCCTAGGAGTTTCCTCGGGACAACAGAGAGGGGACTTGGAGAGAGGGAGCCGGGAACAGACTCAGGAATACCCAGAGAGGGAGACAGAGACTCGGAGAGGAACAGGAGGACCAGAAACAGAAAGTGAAGAGCCAGAGACGGAAGAGATGGACACAGAGAGACAGACAGCCGAGGAGGGGCTGAGCGAAGGGGTGGGGGCTGGACTTCAGTCAGGGGCTGGGGAGAAGCCCGAGTTGAGGAAGGAAGGAATCTTCCCGAAAGGAGCACTTAGGCAGTGGGATCTGGAGTCTTAGGGGAAAACCTTCATCCCTGCCAGCACCTCAACCCTGGGCTTGTCCCTGCCCACCACTGTCCGTTCCATCTGTGGGGAGGTCAGGCTATCTCTTTATCTCTCTGTCTCTGCCTTCAGCTCTACCATCTCTGTGGGTCTTCATTTCTTCTCCTCTCTCCCCCTCCCTCTTTTTCACTCCTTGTTCTCTAAGTCAATCTCCCTGTCTCTGTCGCTTTCTCTTCTCAGTCTCTCTCTGTGACTCTCCCCTTCCATCCCCCCTCTTTCCTCATGAAAAGAAAGTCTCTGTCTCTCTGCTCCTCTCTGTCTCTGTCTTCTCATTCCTGGCTTTCTCTGGCTTCTCTGCCATCTCTCACCCATCTCCCTCCATGGCCTCTTCCCCTCTCCCCTCCAACCAGTCTGGTAGACTTAGCAGAGACCCTAGGCTAAGGCAGAGGGGGCAGGGCAGGGCCTGCCAGGCAGCCCAGGGCGTGGGAGGCTGCCAGATTCGGGGCCTCCTTCCCCGCCCAGTCGCTGGACCCCAGTCCCCTGGGAAGGCTCCCATCCTCCCCTCAAAGCCTGCGCCTCCCTGCTCTGAGGTCACTCTTCAGCTATGTGGGCCTGAGGGCTGGTGGGCAGGCAGGGACAGGGTGGAACGGAGGAGCTGGGGAACTGGGATTCCTCGGCAATGCTTCCCCATCCCCTCCGCAGGCACACGGACTGAGGTGGACCCCTTTGTGGGGAGCCCAGGGAACATCACCAGTGCCCGAGGACTCATGGGGACACTTCGCTGTGAGCTCCAGGTTCAAGGAGAGCCCCCTGAAGTGGACTGGCTTCGGGACGGGGAGGTCCTAGAGCTGGCGGATAGCACCCAGATGCAGGTGCCCCTGGGCGAAGATGGGGAGGACGACTGGAAGGTGGTCAGCCAACTCAGGTGTCCAGTCTCCCCAGACGTGCCCCTCCTGCTCCCCGCACACAACCGCCGTCCTGACACTGGGTCACGGCCCACCTGTGTTGGAATCTTGGTTTGGCCACTTGCTAGCTGTGTGGCTTTGACCATGTGACGGAACCTCTGGGTTTCACTTTCCTCTTCTGTAAACCGAGTTACTAATCGTCCCCGCTTCACAGTGTTTGTGAGCTTTCTATCCAGATCCCCCCTCAGTTCTAACAACCCCTCCCAGTATTCAGCTCTGACCCTGAACTTCTCTGTCCCTCCTCTTGTCCTGTCAGAATCTTGTCCCTGCAGCTCTCGGACACGGGACGATACCAGTGTGCGGTGGTCCTGGAAGGACAGACCTTCGTGTCCCAGCCTGGCTATATAGGGCTGGAGGGTGAGCTCTGGGTCACCTTCTGAGGGGTCCAAAGACATGGGGATTTCATAAGGCATGCTCAAGAATCCCGTGAGTGCTGGAGGATTTGGGGTGTCCCCAGGAATACACAGCCTGAGACTGCCAGGAAATAGGGGTTCTGTAAATTAAGGGGGCAGCCTTAGAGGGTCAAATATCCTGGGGGGAGAAGATATCTGGGGGTTGTCAATGTCCTGGGAGTCAGATGTGGTTGGGGTAAGCCACTGGGGAGAAAGGTCAGAGGCTTGTGACCCCAGGGACCTGGATTTCCTCGTCAGTAAATGAGATGAAGAGTCTAACATTCTGGGGAACGGCAGTTAGCGTAATGGTTATGTTGCTGGACTCCCACGTAGTCGACCGCAGTTCGAGTCCCGGACCTGGTGGCTTAAACTCACGCCGGGCACATGTGCGTGCATGCCCAAGATCCCAAGAGGAGAATGGAGAAGAAGGAATTGCGGCGTGGCCATCCCCCCTGGGGGGCGATTTCTCACTTTCTGTCTCTCTGCCTCTCTCTGTCTGTTTGGCGAGCACATGCGCCCTATAGCAAAAACCTCTCCAAAAAAAAGAGTCTAACATTCTGGAAAAGAGAGCTCAGATATCTTGGGGAGTCCGACACAGGGAGGTTCAGTTATTGGGATCATATGTGTTGGCAACAGAGGCCTGAGGGTGTCAGACAGCTGAAGGAGGCTCAGGGGTCCTGGTGGATGGGCGGAGGGTGGTGAGGGGGTCTGGCATCCATAACCTCAGCACCCTGGTGGTGGGTCAGACACTTGGGGGCTCAGATCCCAGCCTCTACCGCTGGTCCCCCAGGCCTGCCTTACTTCCTGGAGGAACCTGAGGACAGGACTGTGGTCGCCAACACCCCCTTCAACCTGAGCTGCCAAGCCCAGGGGCCCCCAGAACCTGTGGACCTGCTCTGGCTCCAGGACGCTGTCCTCGTCCCGACTACGGACCATGGCCTCCAGCACATCCTGAGCGTTCCCGGTGAGTCTGGGGTGTGGGCCGGCTCAGATAGGGGGCCAGGCTGGGCAGGAGTGTGTGCAAAGGCACCCTCTCTAACTCTGTGGGAATGTCTGCCCACCTCTCTGTGCTTGTCTGTCTCTCTCTGGGCTGTCTCTCTGTCTCAAGTCCCTGCCTCTCTGTGCCTATTGCCTCATTGCTCTCTTTCTGTCTCTGTTCTTTACCCGTTCCTTCATCTCTCTCTCTCTCTCCGTGTCTCTGTTTTCTATCTCTTCTGTCTCTCTGCCGCGCTCTCCTTCTGTTCACCCTGGCCTCTCTGAATGGAATTCTTTGTCCCGATTTCCTCTGGGCTGTTTCACAGCCCCAGTGTGTGGGCCTGGTGCCCCTTTGTCAGTCCCTGACCTAAGCAGGGCACCGGAATCAACCATGCCCTCCTCTCCTACACCTCCCCCACAACCTGCCCAACTCCGGCCCTAAGGGGACTTCCAACCCAGGCTCCCCTATGGGGACAGAGTCCAAAGAAGAGAGGGAAGAGAAGCAGACAGGGAGAGAATGAAGGACACAGGAAGTGACAGGCCACAGAAGTGACCTAAGACGGAGAGACAAGGCAGGGAAGTCTGAGGGTGAAACCTCCCTCTTCAGGGTGGCCTACCCCTTACATTGCACAGACAGGGCAAGGCCTCACCTGGGTCACACAGAGCTGAGGGGTCCCGAACACAGGGGATCCCCCTGATGGGCGAGGAGAGACAGAGGAGCACAGATCCAGGGGAAGGACCAGTCAGGGGAGAAGGCTGGGCCCTGAAGGGCATCTGCCTCCTGCACCGCAACCTGCTGCCTCTCCCCCTCTGCTGAGTTGGGAAGGAGCCTCCTGGCTGAGGGTCTCCTGGGGTAGAGGGAGGGGGAGGTGCCCACATTCCCGGCATTCCGGGGGCCCTGAGTGTGCAAGGAAGTGGTGCAGCCCCCAGAAGGGTGACTCAGGCCCGTGACTCGAGTGACCCGGTAGGCACAGGGATGGGGCCTGAGTCAGCCTGGCAAGACCCCAGAGAGGGGGTGGGGACAGTCCCCCACCTCATCCCGGGGAAGAGGAGACATGGAGGGCATAGGTGTGAGAGGGTGTGTGCGTGTATCAGTGTGTGTGGTGAAGTGTCTGGGATGGGAGAGGGCCAGCACGTGTCTCAGTGGGGGGCTGGTGTCTAGCCGTGTCCCTCTGGAACCCCGTCAGCATGATTATCAGTGTCATCCTCCCGAGTGCAGGTGTGCTTATATGAGGGCCAGCTCCTATGGGTGTCTCAATGTGAGTGTACACAGATAGGTGTGTGTAAGCGTGTAACTAGGCATGATTCTGTCGCTTGGCTGTCCGTCCCACTGTGTGTTTGGGTCTTTATAGTATGTCTCTACAAGTTTCTCAGGGCTACAAGGGTGTGTGTGTTTGTGTCACTGTCTGGGTCCCTGTGTTTTTGTGTTCACAGCTGTGACCCACTGTGTAAAAGTGGAATGTGGGGGGCAGGCCATTTGTGGCTATGTTGTACTCTCTACAGAGGTGACAATGTCAGCTCACAGGTGTGCACCCATGGGTGTAAGTGTGTCCTGGTGCGGCTTCCATTTCCTTGGGGATGTGTCAATGGCTAAGTTGGTGGGGTTCCTGCCAGCTGTCCGCGTATATGTACGTGTGTGTCCACTGATGTCTCTGTGGTGTCTTGTATATGTCACGGGGTAAGTATGTTGCTGTGTGACCGTCACCGCAGACCCATCTGTGTGTGTGATGTGTATTCAGAGAACCAGCGGCAGAGCGAGAGAAATAAATTCACAGCGGGGCAGTAAACACACCCTCCTGCCCAACCCCGACTGCCTGTTGGTGCACGAGTCTGGGGTGCTCACCAACCGGTGTGCGTGTGAATGTCTGTGTCTCCATGCTTGTGTGTCTGCAGCAGGCTCCCGTGTCTCTGCAACTGTGTGTGTGTGTGTTTAAAATAATTGTTTATTTAATTTTTATTTATTCATTTATTTTAATTTGATTAGAGAGAAATAGAGAGGAAGAGAGATAGAAAGTGAGAAAGCAAGCCACCAGGTCTGGGACTCAAACCATGGTCAGCCATGGGGGTTAAGTGTCTAGCGCCTTAACCCCCATGCCACCTGCTGGTCGCTACTGTGTGTTTGTATCAGTTCACAACTCAGCCAAGGACACGCGGGCTGAGTGTACCCAGTTGTGTTTGGGCACAGAGGAAGGTGTGTCCGGGTGCTGTGTGAGCGCACCAACGTAACTTTCACCATGCCCTGGTGTGTGTGTGTCCGCCCACTTTGACTGCCGTGCATGTTTGCTGTTCGTATGTGTGTCTCTACCTGTGGGGCTGTCACTGTGCATGTCGGCATTGGCCTGGATGTACAGTGCATTGCTAGGTGTGTGCGAGCAACGTGTGCCCAGGCGACCCTGTGTTTTTGTTTGTCCCCAGATCGGCTCATCGGTGTATGTGCATCAGTGTCAGCCCTGTGTGTATACATGTCAGTCACGGTGTATGTGCGTCATGTGTGTGACAGCATCGGCCCTGGCCCTGGTGTTGTGTGTAGCTGAGTGAGTGCTGCATATTCTGTGTATTTGTGCCAGTAACGGCCCCTGCGTGTTTAAGTGTGAATCACTGTGTGTGTGAAGGGGCGCCGGACCAAGGAATTTTGTCGGTTTGTGTCTGTCCCTCTGACTCAGGACCAACCCTTCCCTCTCCTTCCATCCCTCTCATTCCCTCCGGAAAGCCTGGGGGTGGGGTGAAGGGCGGAGGGCGGAGGGGGAGGGGCGGGGGCGGCT